AACAAAAACAGCTGAAATGACACCTGTAGTGATTATTAGTGATAATGTGATCGCTCTAGGCCAAGAAATGACGTCATTTTTTAGCCTAGAGAACAAGCATATTATCACTACTTCACCAGTCCCTCTCATGTTCCCAAAGTCGTTGTGCATAGAGCAAAATATAACGACTATTACGTGAAACAATGTAAAGAAAAATAATACATGTGAGACTATGCGTAGGCGACGGTACTACACCCAATACAGCTACTCGCTTTTGTGAGTCCTTATGACCTGTATATTGCATTTCCAACATAAAACCTTATAGTACTCGACATTTCTAGGTTCACTAGGCTGGCTAGTAGACTATAGGCCCTTATAAAGTTGATGTAACGGAGTTGATGTAACGGAGTTAATGTAACGAAGTTGATAATTTTGTCATGTTTGACCTTGTTGGTTCCACATGGAGTAAGGGCAAGCTGCAAATATTATGTTTTATTCAAGAGGTCAATATGCCTGTCTTCCTCAATTTATGATGTTTGGTTTCTATGGTTACTTATAATATTACTTATACCAGTAAACTCCACTAGCCTGGGTGTACACCTCAGGCAAGTGTTAGCACACCCTTAGCCTCCCTTGGCCGGGGATACGGCGTGCACTCACCGGCGGATCTGACCTGTCAACCCGGCGTCTTATCCGGCAACTGGCAGATGGGGCAGATGTGACTCCTTAGCTACAGTGAAAGCATCACACCTAAGACAAGGAAAGCCCAAAGTCAAAACCTCCATTGTCCTGTGGGTAGCGTTGGTTCGCAAAGACTAGGAGTTAGGACCTCTGATGTAAAAGTCCTGGTGATGGTGTCACTTGAAAAACACTCAGACCCCTGATCTGCAACAGGTTGGCAAAGGAAGGGCATCCTGCTGTAAAATCGCCACAACACAAACATGACTAGTCATAATCAAAGAATCCGTACAGGCGGTGCTGGCTCCTTTAAAAGAGCCAGTAGTGCTTCCGGCTTGGCAGACCTAGGGGTGCGTGGGGCTGCAGGGTCAGGCCATTACGGCGAATCTAGCGAACGCCCAAAGTCCTTCTGTGTTGGCACGCTCAATGTGGGCACAATGCGGGGTAAAGCTAGTGAAGTTGTGGAGACAATGACACGGAAAAGAGTGGACTTGTGTTGTCACCAGGAAACGAGGTGGAAGATGGATGGTGTCAAGATAATCGACGGTAAAGACTCGCGCTACAAGTTCTTCTGGTCCGGAAATGACAAGGGTACTGGTGGGGTAGGAGTATTACTGGAGGAGTGGTGGGAGAAAGTGTTTGAGGTCATGAGAGTCTCGGACAGGGTTCTCCTAGTCCGAATGGTCATCGGCAGGACAGTGTTCGCGTTTATTTGCGTGTATGTGCCTCAGGTCGGCCTCAGCGATGCTGAGAAAGACTGCTTATACCAGATGCTGCAGAGTGCTGTTGCCAAGGTCCCGGCCTCGGAGCAGCTCATTATTTGTGGTGACTGGAATGGGCACATCGGCGCTGAATCCACTGGCTTCAGAGAAGTGCATGGTGGGCAGGCCATCGGGCAGCGGAACACCGAAGGGGAGAGAGTGTTGGAGTTTGCGGTTGCTAATGAGCTCGTTGTTGGCAACTCCTGGTACAAGAAGAAAGCTAGGCACCTCGTCACTTACCAGTCTGGAACAGCCGCTACACAGATCGACCTCATCCTGTTCCGGCGCAATTTCAGAAGACAGGTGTCAAATGTTAAGGTCATCCCAGGGGAGGAGTGTGCATCGCAGCATAGACTAGTGGTCGGAGACTTTACAGTCTGAATCCATCCACAACCCAAGCGCAAGTTTGTGCCCCGTGTCAAGGTGTAGAAGCTACGTGACCCAGAGAAACAACTTGAGTTCTCAGAAGTTTTCGTTGCAAAGACACAGGAACACGCCGAGTCCCAGCCGATCACAGTAGATGAGCGATGGTCTTCGCTGAAGGACAACCTGTTGAAGGTGACGGAGCAGGTGTGTAGTGTCTCTTCGAAACACCAGTGAAGAAAGCAGACATGGTGGTGGAACAACTTGGTGGATAGTGCAGTGAGGGAGAAGCGAAGATGTTGGAAGGCGTGGAAGGCTGGGGGTAGCCGTGAAGCATACAAAGCAGCCAAGCGAGTCTCCAATCGTGCAGTTCATCATGCCAAAAGCAAAGCTGAGAAGGTTGTTCTGGAGAAAATCAACCCCAAGACGGCAGACATCTACGAGCTCGCCAAACAAATGTGGCGTGACAACCAAGATGTCTCAGGGGAGAAACCTGTCAAGAATGACGCTGGCAAACTCGCTTGATGTGGATGCCAAGAAGCAAGCTTGGAAGCAACACTACGAGCGGCTGCTCAATGTGGAGTTTGAGTGGAACCCCAATGATTTGTCAGAGGAATCTCCAACTGAAGGCCCTTGTGAACCGATCACCACAGGGATGATAACCAAGGCCATCCACAAGACGTCTCTCGGCAAAGCCGCCGGGCCATCTGGTATCGTTGCTGAGATGCTGAAGCCTGCCGGGAAGCTGGTGCGGTCTTGGTGCGTGGTCTCGTTGAGACCATCATATCCGAGGGCCGGATTCCGACTGAATGGCAGGAAAGCTACATTGACTTGTTTAAGGGAAAGGGCGTTGCTCTAGACAGAGAAAACTACAGGGGCCTGAAGTTGATTGATCAAGTGATGAAGGTGCATGAGTGAGTGGTAGAGGGATTTATCAGGAAGAGAGTGGGGATCGATGACATGCAGTTTGGCTTCATGCCGAGCCTTGGCACTACTGACGCGATCTTTATCGTTCGTCAGCTACAGGCGAAATACATGGCAGCGAACAAACCACTCTACATGGCCTTCATCGACCTGGAGAAGGCATTCGGCCGTGTCCCTCGGGACGTTATCTGGTGGGCGATGCACAAGCTCGGGATCGACGAGTGGCTGGTCTGGCTGGTCCAGTCCATGTACTCGGACGTGAGAAGCAGAGTGAGAGTCGGGGTCGAGTACAGCGAGGAGTTCGGGGTTGGAGTAGGAGTGCATCAGGGCTCAGTTCTGAGCCCGTTGATTTTCATCATCGTGCTGGAGGCCCTCTCCATGGAGTTCCGCGAAGGCTGTCCATGGGAGCTGCTCTATGCAGACGACTTGGTGGCAATCGCCGAGTCATTGGAGGAGCTGTTAGAGAAGGTGGACATGTGGAAGTCGGGATGGAGAAGAAGGGCCTGCGGGTAAACATGGGGAAGACAAAGATCTTGGTATCTGGCACGGACTTGGACCTGCTGAAGAAGTCCGGTAAGCATCCTTGTGCTGTCTGTCTCACAGGAACTGGTAGCAACGCAATCCTTTGCATTGGCTGCTCGTTCTGGGTGCACAAGAAATGCAGCGGCAGTTTGGGCGCGCTACACCAAGACCCTGAGTTCAAGTGTGCCCGCTGCCTAGGCACTGCACGGCCGATCGACGGGAGACCGATGCAGCAGGTGATGATTGGTGCTGACAAACTCGAAGTGGTTCCAGAGTTCTGCTACCTTGGAGACATGCTCTCTGCAGGGGGAGGCTGCAAGCTAGCTACTATCACGTGCTGCAAGTGTGCATGGGGCAAATTCCGGCAGCTGCTACCACTTCTTACCAACCGCCATCTACCACTGCTCACCCGGGGTCGTGTGTATTCGACGTGTGTGAGCTCGATGCTGCATGCTTGAGACATGGGCCACAAAAGCGGAAGACCTAAACGGTCTTCGGCAAAATGACCGCGCCATGATTCGCTGGATCTGCAACGCCAAGGCTAAAGACGAAGTCAGCTCTGACTCCCTTCTCGCGAAGCTGGGCATCCAGGATGTGGACGTGGTGCTCCGTTCTAATAGGTTGCGGTGGGTTGAGCATGTGGAGCGTAGCACAGGCTGGACCGCCAGGGCGCGCAAGATCGAGGTGGTTGCGCAGAAGAGAGCAGGCAGACCAAAAACGACATGAGATGAAGTGGTGAAAAATGACCGAACAAAGCTTGGCATGGATTCTATGGACCCTCATAACCGCTGTGTGGAGAGAGCGTCTTTGAGAAGACTAGTCAGACAGGCCACACCCTCGCTAGAGGTTTAATTCAGGCCTGGATAATCAAAACTAGGATGATGATGACTTATCATACAATTTGCGTAACAGAGGTGATGAATGCATTTAAGTACGCATTTATTTTTGGCAAATTTTCCCCTTGAAATGTGATGCTGGTTGGTCTGATTGGTCTGATTGGTCTGATTTGGTCTGATTTGGTCTGATTGGATCTGATTGGTCATTGGTTAACACCATTGTCTATGAATAGATGGCAGCACAATACAGTTGTAACGGAGTTGATAAAAATTCAGGACAATAGGTCTGAGGTTCACCGTTCACCCCTCTTACACTTATGGTCACAGGTGTATGAAACTTTGCTGAATTACAGTTGAAACAATAGCAACCCCACCGAAACTAGATATCCTATCCCTGAATGATGACAACAGCTTCAAATCATTGGTGGAAAATTGGCTACCATGGATTAGAACAGGCCATTCCGAGACCATCTGAACATTGAACTTAATTTTTTTTTTAATCTCATGTATATGAAATCCATTTTAGTGCTAATTTTTTACCATGATCCAAGCCATTCATTAAACAATAAAATTGATTCAAAACCTGGAAAGTCATTGAAGAATTCTGACCAAGGGTGGTCAGGACAGCAATTTTCCCCCTAACCTCAGAATCACCTAGTTTGGAAGTTCTAGTCTCGAAAAACGCAACATAAAACCGCCCTGAGTGAATCACTCAGGGGCTCCTCCAAAGAAAAGAATAGGTTCGCGTTGTAACTCTACTCTTGTGTTGGGTTACATTATTGTATCTACTGTGTAGACACACAACACATAATTGACCTAGCCTTTAACTTTTTTAAATTTTATTTTTAACATCGGGTGAAACACGATAACCATCCCAGAAGATTATTACTCTATATAACTATCATTAATTTTCTATATATGTGGGCAACAAACGCACAGGTGTAGATGAAACCCTGACAAAATCACTTGTATCTATATCAGGTATCTTGCTCAACAAGGTTCTGATCAGAGATGATTTCCCCACGTTGCTTTGGCCTATTACTGCCACCTGTAGGAGAAACACAGAAAATAATAAGATGAATTCCCAAAACTGCCACCTATAGGAGAAATATTACCTATGATATCAGAATATTAAACAGAATATTGAGACAAATATTAAGCAGAAGAAGCATTATATAAACTTTATTGATTATTGTGTGCACTCAATTTATGTAAACAAGAAACAAAATGATAATTTGATAACTATTTAATACCACTCTTAGATTTGGCTAGTGATCTACAAAAAGCTATTGCACTCGAACAATTTCTTTATAAATATCATTGTATTGTGGTACAGCTAGTCTATTGATGAACCATATCTTGCGCTGAGAGGGTCTATGTCCCCCAGGGTACTGCCGGAACGTTCCCTGGTACTATCTAATATGCCGGACCGTACCTCGCCTACTCCACTAACGAGTCTAGGGAGTTGCCTACGCCTACTCCCTAACCCTAACCCTACCCATATCAAATAGTTACCAGGGTACGTTCCGGCAGTATCCTGGGGGACATAGACCCTATGAGCATATCTTGCCTATAGGTGTCGTTTCTCTCTCACCTCGGGAAGATTGTTTTTAGGAGCACCATCCACACTAACTGTGCTTCCCACCATGTCAATTTTGTGGCGTGTTCTTGGCACAAACAGAGTTTCTGCCTCACGCATCTTTTCCTGAGTGGGTACAAAGAGTTTTTCGCCGGGGCGAAGCACAGGGACACGCAGCTGCTCTTGTAGTGCATTAACCGGGTTGCTAAACTTCTTGGAATCCTCAAATTTCACTGCTAGACGCCGGTTTCTGCAAAAGCAAATAAATATAAACTAAAATTAAAGGGATACTTTCACTTAGAATTTTTTAGTAGGGCCTATATAACGATAGTAAATACATAAATAATAGGATATACCTACAAATTTCTATAATTACTCATTCACGTTTGTAATAAAACAACATTGAATTTTGAAATCTTCATTTTTTGGCACGGACATTGACACACCCACGATTGCGCTGCCACCCTGAAAAAGTTGCGCATTTGCCAATTTATTTTGCACGTTACAGACCAGGGGCTAATCACCAACATGCAATTATATTTATACCTAAATGCTATTTTTAACCAAACAATATTTATTTTAGGACAAATTCTTCCATATTATAACTGAAACTAAGTGTCGTTTATAAAATATTGCAATCCTTCTGTTATTAAATTAAAAAATAAGAAACACCCTCGGTCTGTAGCCCGCAGCCGAGACGTTGCTTTGCGCAACTTTTCAGTGGATGCGCTTCCAGTGGTGCCACCATCATTGTAAGCAACGGTATAGCCGACATGTTTAAAAACATTTTAAAAATATTACTGATGAATATAGAACCATAAAATGTATGTAGCCTAATTTTACCCTATTCTATCTGAAAATATCCAAAGAACCTATAGTAACGCTCGTAGGGTCTATGTCCCCCTGACCTCTGTTTGACCTGGCTCGTTTAGCTATTTCTGACTAACCCTAACCCTAACCCTATATATATTATATATTATATTCGGACGGACGGACAGACGGACGGACGGACGGACGGACAATCATGCGATTCTACAAGCTGCATCTGACTATGTCAGATGAGCTAAAAATTACGCAGGTTTCTAATGCAGTGACGTTGCAAACAGAGCGAGGGTAATGCGCGAGCAGGGCCACGTTGTAGGAGAACCCTCCAGCTCCGCACATTGTGCCTTTTTGGTTTTTGCGGTGGGTATAGGTGTGATATGTATACTGATAGAACGCTTAGTGAATTATTAAGCACCTGTCTCGCTATCCCCGCCGCTACATCTACGAGTCTTCGCACGCCCAATCAACACGAATTTACACAGACTGGCTCTAAATAAAATGAAGTAACCGCTTGTTCCCGTAAGCTGCCAACGTCACTACTGCGCTAAGACAGTTAAAATTGATGATCTCTCATGCATAATAATTACAGCACTTTGACACGAGTACTTAAACTGGTATAATGAGTATAGTGGTGTTAATTAATCAGACTGGCCATATTCGCGCAATCATTGTGACAACGTGTACTGCCGAAGAATTGAATTGCTTGTTGACCTGGAAATCTTTCACCGCAGAAATGTCGATTTCGTGAGTCTCATGGCTTACGACTTGCACGGCCCCTGGGACAGATTCGCCGGTCACAACGCGCCACTGCGCTAGCGCAAAAACGAGGGAGCCTATCAGGGAACGCTGAACGTGGTACGTGTTAAGTGTTGTAATACATGTCTGGAATAGCCTAGTCAGCCACTAGATGGCGACACACGTGGCAATAGATAGGTGTAACGTGCACATGTATACTATAGACCAGGTAGTTGGGCAGTGGACAGGGCACCGAGAACATTTTTATGTAGCTGAATAAAGGCTTGTGTAAGCGTTCTCCACCATTTTTGGTTTTGGCTCTGACTTCGTGGCTGTGCAGCACGTAACAGTACGTACGCATGCGCGAGAGTGATGGATGAATGCGCGTGAGTGTGAGTGTGTGCGAGTGTGTGTGAGTGTGTTAATAATGAGTTCCTTCTTACTCGTTTGTTATCCGTGATCGTTAGTGGCTCCGCGCATAATAATTATTGTTACTAAATGATTGCGTATAGACATCTACAAATACGGAAGACTGAGGTACGTATATAAACATACAAACGTCTTTAATCAAACATCTATTATAATACCGTAGCATCAAACAGTACAGAAAGGTACGCGACAGAAGCAGAACTTATCGAGAAGTGGTGTATGTAGCGATTACAGCAACAGTAAAGATATGGCGACGTGTCTCGACTAGATCGCAAATAGCAGACCCGTAATTTCATAAACAGCGCGTTAAATACCCACGCCCGTGGTCACTGTCTTAGCCGACTGCCGTCATTGGTTGAGCCCGCTGCCTTGACCGTGATCACGCGCGCTCATTAGCTGGCTAAGGTCGTTGGCCACGCCCCTTTGACCCACGGCCTAATTCCGTACGTGGCGTCTTGCGACCCAAGCTATTTATTAATCTTATTGTTATTCTTATTATTGTCTTACTATTTCTGTATTACATTGACACTGTATAAAATGACTAGCAACTATTATGTTGTTCAAGGGGATTCCCAGCCAAAAGTACTAAACGCACCATATGGCGACTTTTGTGAGGGTCGAGCCGTTTCTGGTGTGGGATACCCCCTCCCCCCCACTGTTTCCGCGTGTAATGTCGTCCGTGAGTATGAACGAGACAATTAATTCCCCTGATCCTGGATCGCGTATGTGTACCGATTGTGTAACGTCACAGTGAAAAAGGGAATTATAGTTCTCTTGGCTTATGGCACCGGCGGAGGCAAGGGAAATCACAAGGCTAAATTATTGTTGTCGTTTTATTCGTTCACCAAATAGATTCACGGCCTAAGCGTAAGGCTTTCCGTTTGTATTTATGCTATATAGTGTATATATAGGTTAAGGCTTACCCTAAAACTTAACACTAGAAACTAAACTAAAAAGGCTTAACACTAAAAGTTAGAATTTACGCCTAATCTAGAAGCATGGGGATATTCATTGCTAACTTTATAGGTTAATGACATCGGGAGATAAGCTCGACGAACCCATATGGGCTTGTGCAGTAAGTTTGCGTCCCGTAAAGACGGTTCGAGCTTCTACTTCCCACATGCCAGAAGAGTAAAAGGACTAGTCCTGAATTCGGGGAGTTTTCGGCGGTGAACGCGCTTGCAAACACGTCGGTGGCTTGAGGTACGCTGAGTGACCAACAAACTCAATCGTCTCTTCTTCCCGTCGTCGCCTTTCATCCTTAATCCGTCCATTCCTCTTCTTCCATACTTACTTTTTGCCTTCCTATTCTTCCAGCCTTTCTTCTTTTGCTCATCCCATTGCCTTTTTTCTCTTTCTTGCTTATGTTCACATCCCTTATCGTTTCCTTTCTAACCTTTCATCCCTTCTCTGGCCCTTCCTATTCTTCCACTCTTTCTCTCCTCCTCCTCCGCCTCCTCCTCCTCCTCCTCTCACTTCTTTCATTTTCCCGTCAATCCTCTCACTTCTTTCATTTTCCCGTCAATCCTCTCTTCCGAACCTTTCTTCTTATTTCCCTGAATAATATCGACGGTATGCAGTGGAACTGCGAAAACACGGGTTCAATATTATTCCCCCTAATATCAGCAGAAATATAAAGTTCTTCATTAAATAATCGCCGAACCTTGAATCGTGCGCGCTAATCTCGCAGGTCATTCCGAAGGACGCGAGAGAATCTGCTAGCTCTAGCGTAGGTGGTGGCTGCGAGCCCCATTACGTCATCTCCCAGCGATGCAATGTGTAACCCACGTGACTACCCCACAGATATCCCATAATACTCTACATAGTCTCTACAAGAATCTATGTATTATATCAAGAGTCCATAATAGAAAATTTTATAGACATGTTCTATCATGGATTCCTGATTATATGTAGAATATCTCCGACCACCACCATCACCGGCATCGTCGTGTTCACCGGCGTCACAACGCCATCTATCGATAATTGACAGATCTCGCATAGCAACAGGCATCTAAACGCACCGATGTCTTTTTCCCCCACGTCCCGACTTTCGAATCCGTACGTCGAGCCGTTTCGATTTGTGCCCAACTGTTGACGGACGCACAGACGCACGGACGGACGCACGGACGCACGCTTATGCGATTCTACAAGCTGCATCTGACTATGTCAGATGAGCTAACAATGGCAAATTTAGTAATTTACTGATGTAAATTTTCATATGGCTGAAAAATGTCATGACCGGGAGCTTCTGGACTCATTCCGGGGCACCGGGAGCAGCGTGTCATACCGGGAGGATCCCGGTGAGACCGGGACACTTGGGACGTCTGGTTAGGGAGTAGGCGTAGGCGTAGGCGACTCCCTAGACTCGTTAGTGGAGTAGGTGAGGTACGGTCCGGCATATTAGATATAGTACCAGGGTACGTTCAGGCAGTACCCTGGGGGACATAGACGGTAGACCCTCTCAGCAATAGTATTACTATTAGTAATGACTAATGACTAAATGTACAAAGACTTTTAGAGCACCTTTGGCATCTGAAGTGGGAACACACAGATACGTGCAATCAATGAATCATTATATTTGCAGCCTCATTTTTACCTTGTCAACGTTGTCAAATGTAGACGTCTTGACTGAATAAAACTTGCCAGCTTCATACTGCTTGCACGGCAGTGGAAAGTAGGCCTAGAGGCTAGAGTAGAGGTAGATACAATAATGCAACCCAAACCCAAGAGGATAGGGGTGGGCCTAACTTCACCTCCCGTTCTTCATTACATTCCTTTGGCGTTGGACTCTGAAGACTAGTTTTATGGGGGTTTGAGGCGATCTGGCTAAACAGATCTTGGTACGATAACAACCAACAACAAGTTAAACTTGTAAATGTACTTAAACACTGGCGTAGCCTACTTAAAACAGCAAGTTACCTTCTCGCTGTTGACTACATGAAACAGTCGTAAGAGAGCTCAGACTATGATGATACTCATAACATAATTTTTTTCATTTAATATTGTAATTCATAATGCCCCTAATGTCATTTCAAGTTATCTAAGTAACAGAATAAAATTAAGATAATTACAGATTAGTAACATTTGTAATTACGACATTAAATTTAAAAAAGACAAATTAAAAAACAATTACTACTGAGTCTGCCAACAGACGGCGCTATATACTTCCGTCAGCGAAAACCAAACAAATATTTTCAACAGAAATTGTTTTTACTATGATTTGTACACTTATAATACGTTAGTGATAAAATAAATTGCACGTTGATGTAGTCTAACTGGGTAAGAAAACAATTTTGTTTGTAGGCAGCGTATCACACCGCCAGATTAAATAACTATAGCAACAACATAATGACAATGTCAAATAAATAGGTATTACTAGGCCGGTTCACTAGGCCTCCTAAATAGCACGGGATTAACTTTTCCCCGGGCGTAGATGGACGGTCACGTGATGTGGCAGCACTAGTGTAAGGATTAGGGTCAGAGTTAGGGAAATAAGGCCATGTCTAGCACGGAAGTATGACTGTGGAATCTTTCTCAGTTTCTGTGGAAGATTTGGACTTTGACGCGTACGAAGTGACTAGTGCTGCCACGTAACGGCACCGTCCATCTACGCCCGGGGGAAAGTGACACCCAAATAGCACAGGCACTTGGATTTAAACTTGAAAGTTGGAACGTTTCAATAAGCAGACGTCCCAAGTGTCCCGCTCTCACCGGGATCATCCTGGTGCGACATGCTGCATGTTCCCGGTGTTCCGTTAAGAGTCCAAGAAAGTTCCGGTCGTAACATTTTTCGGCCATATTTTAAAATTTACATCAGTAAATTACTAAATTTGCTGTGGTAGCAATAATAAATAAATGTGAAACCATAAATTAACACGAATCTGCATTTTATTTTACATGTATACTTTGTAAAAAATGGTGGTGCACCGCGACAAACACATGTCGCAGCCCGCCACAACTATTTTCCTGGACCATTATCACAAGTGATCCCTTTCTTGGTTTTTCCCAAAATGGTACCTCTGCAATAAGCCAGTTTGTAGTTAGCCAAGGGGATGTGTGACGTCACAGGTCACTGGGTCATTTGTGACAAAAATCGATGAAATCTCGAGTGCGGCGTGCGCTCTCGGTTCAGTATGTATATGTACATGCACGCATGTGTATGTGCACGCACGCACCTACGTGCACATGCACGCACCCACACGTGCACACGCAGATGTGCACACGCACGTGTGTACGTGCGCACGCACACAGGCATGCATGCGGGCGTGCGTATGCACGTACACGTGTACACGTCTGTGCGTATCCACGCCCGCATGCACACATACGTGCACACGTACATGCGCACGTACGCACGCACGTGTATGTGCGCATGCACGCACGCACGTGTATGTGCACACGCATGTGCGCACGTGTACGTGCACATGCACGCACGCACATACCAACGTGTACGTGCGCACGCACGCACGTGTACGTGCACACACAAAGACTGTAGCATTACAACGACACAGATACATGCGTATGTATACTGTACAATCGAAATACGAAATATTTTGTCACAAATGACCTAACCCGGAAGAATTCCTGACAAAGTTCATGCATGCGCAGACTGTAACTACAAACTGGCTTATAGTAAAATGATGGTAAATAAACTAGAAATATATTTACTACCAGATTGTTAATGTGCACAAACAATAAAAATGAAGAGAATATAATAATAATCTCTTTATTTTTATTGTTTCTGCACAGGGGCGTGCTTGTGGTGTACTTGTGAGTGTGCCGCAGAGCCTCTGCCAGAGGAGCATTTGAACGGCATTTACAGGAAATTATTACTAATAATAGGCAAAAGAGAGTAGAGAAACATTAAGACTTTGGTAGTAAATACATTTCGTGTTTATTTACGATCATGTTACTATTGAAACGTTCCAAGTGCCTGTGTCAAATAGGTTTATAACTAAGCACTGTTTAAGCTATAAGCACTTATCAACAGTATTAAAAACCTATTGAGCGTATTGCAGTGGATTAGGGACAAATCCTAGCTACCCCCGATTACCACCCCGGATTAGTTTAGCACATGCGCAAACACATTTGCAGGGTCCCAAACAGGGGTTGTGCATGAAATAGCATAGTACTAGAGGCAAGTAAGGACTAAGTACCACATTGCATCAATTATAGATTAGGCCTGGGGTCCTCCTTCATAATTTATAATAGGCGAGTTGAATAACCTGCAAAGCTCAAAATTCAATTCACTTACTTCATCATGATAGTTCTTTCACTTGGTTGTGACTCGAGTTGGAGGATCACCATGGCGAAGTCTGTAAGTAAATTAGCTTTGAGGAGTGACATAATATAAGTATGTCACTCTATCTATAACATAATCTATATTGTGTCCTTGTGGAATCGTAGGAGTGACGAGCTAGGAGTCGCACTTAGGAACATGTCAGGATCACAGACACCTTCCACCGTCAGCACGGCCTCCGAGGCAGACAAAACCGCGACGCCGTCACATGTGTCATCGGTCTCCTCATTCAAGTCGCCCACCTCGCTGCTGCCTTCTAACAATGATGCTGAGGCAGCGGCTGCATCAGACAATTCGCAGAGCTCCAGCGATCATATTTCGAGTCGTACAAGCAGTGCAAGCGATTACAAGATGAGAGTGTTATCGCCAAGTCACTTACTGGGGGTAAATCAACCCGGTGAGATGGAGGAGCGGGGATTTGATCTCCAACCTGTTCTTCCACCCAGCGATTTGATACCAGACAATGATTATGAGGAAAATGATAACAAAAGCCAAAACTACCTACCTGTGCCTCCGTCCAGTGAAAGGCAAGGAAACACTATTGCTAGTTATAAAAAGCATAGTGTTAATAAACAGTCTCCAGTACTACAATATTACTCGTCATCCAACACTGACACTGGTAAGAGAAACCCAACCAATAAAACAAAGAGATTAGGGCATCGTGTGCAAAAAGCTAGCGACAAAACCATAGAGGAAGACCTTCAGACATCTACCTCGCATCGCTCAGTCTCAGATGGGAAACATGCAAAGCGCAGTAGAAGTGCGGTCAACACTATTTTGGGCTCTGAGTCTGGCGCAAGAAGGCTGCATTTTAAACCTTTGGCTACCAGTGATCTGCTCTTTACACGTGAACCAGTTGCTACACAGGGAGATGAAACAGTAAGCAAATAAGTCTGCTTTTACTAATAAAGAGGCATGGAGTGAGTGTAAAAAACAAACTGAGAGTAAAGCAAATCTATCAGGGCACAAAATTTATTAGAGGCTTGTGCTTGCACTTATTTCAAAGTTGCTTCTGCACTTAATCACATTATTCTAACATGTAAAGTTTGCATATGTGATCGTAAATTTTATCCATAGAAAACACGTCAGCAAAAACCTGCAGTGAAAGATGGCAACCCCACATTAACAGTAGAGGAGTTGAGAGCCAGCCTATACCATAAATTTCGTGATCAAGGACTGTTGGACAAACTAAAGGTATACATGCTTGTCAACAGATAATCCCATATTCTGATATTGTGATTTACGATAATAATAATAATAATAATAATAGTAATCATAATATAGTAATGGAAGTCCAGATGAGGGTTGTCGTCGGTGCATCCGTAATAGCCGCACACTGTAAAGCCTTAGCCGTATGCAGGTAATGATTCGTTTCTCCCTCGCTGCTTTTCCAGAGTCAGCTTCGGCACCAAGTCGTCGTCGGTCTACAAGAGAGCATCCTGCGGCGGTCGCCGTTTGCCGTGGCGACCGAGGCGATGCCTCTCTACCTGCGTGCGCTTAACAGTCTGGTGATGTGTCACCTGCGAGCGCACGGCTACAGATACACGGCTTCCGTGCTCGCCCCGGAGAGCGGCACGGCGGACGGGCTCACGACCGAGGACGTGTTCCGCATTCTGGGGATCGGGAAGAACTCGAAACTCTACACGCTGCTGGTAGGTCGAAGTCGTAGCCTTTGGGGATAAAGTGTGAGGATTAAATTTGTTTTCGTGGAAGTTCTGGGAGTAAGGTAGCTTTTGTAGAATAATGTATTTGGGGGAGAATGGTGCAGCTATTGGCGAATAACATAGTTTTGGGGGATTAAGTTTGGGAATTCAGGGAAAAAAAGTTTAGGAAATTATATATAGTTTTTGGGAAAAAAAGTTTATGGAACAACATAGTTTCCACACAGTTTGATCAGTGTAAGATCAGCAGTATTTGGCCGTTTGGATTTTGTCAGCGATGTCAACAACGATCTTCTAAGAAACCAAGCTTGATTACATTTCAAAATTATCTTAGGTAAACAACCATGCAACTAGGAAGGTAGGCCCTTAGCCGGGCAGTTGGGCAATTTGTCAGTTAGACAAGCAAGTGGGCAAGCTGGTAGAGAAACCGTTTGAAAGATGGCTAGATAGATCACATAGAATGAACTATAATATATAACCATATATCAATATTTGAAATTATCACCACCAGGTGGCATTGGCTGTTCAAAGGGTATTTCGAATAGACAATTTGCAAACACATGTTCTATCATTTATTACAATCTATTTTCTCATTTACTCGAAAGGTCGTGACCCCGTTTGTATCAGTTTGATTTTGCTTATAGATGAAAGACTCATCTAACGGAGTTCTTTGGGAGCTGCTGTCGGAGGTGGTGGAGCGTTCGGTTGATGGAACATCGGAGGCTAGCGTGCAGACCGATCTAGCTCAGCCTGCTAATTCCTCCACCTTACGTGAGCCCTTCACATTCTCTGCTAAGAAATTTTACCACTAGGGGTTGAACTTTACCATGGCATCGATGTCAAGTGCTGTGGTTTCCCTCCCCACTTTCTGGACGACTTTCATGACAATAAATTTCAGTGGCTGCCATAATGTGGTTTGCCTCCTTCCACCTCCCATAAATGCTATTTGCTGTATGTATCCCTCTCTGTCATTCATTTAGAATGTTGATAAAAAGTTACATCAGTGCCCCTCCTCTCAGTGCTGGACTAATCCGATCATACTCTTGGCCAGCGCCGCAGTGTGCGTGCGTGCGTGCGTGCGTGCGTGCGTGCGTGCGTTCTTGCGTGCGTTCTTGCGTGCGTGCGTGCGTGTTGCTTTCAGGTTTAGAAACTGCGATCGCATTTCTGGGTGTTGCAGATGAGAAGTTGCGCATCGTGGATGCACATTATGACGGGAGAAAGTCGGAGGAGCGTGGCGTTTGGATGACATCCGTGGAGGACCGCATCCTGTCCTTCCAACGACAGCTGGAGGAGCGCTCACGCAGCGAACTGCAGTTGGAGGTGAGCGAGAGGTGATCTAGACTGGCTTCCTGTCCTTAACTCATCACTCCACTGCGCATGCTCATGTGACCGAAAGTTAGGACAGGAACAGACTGGTTCGCTGACCTTGACTTATAGCTGCACTATGCATGAGCCTGCAATCGAAAATTAGGACAGGAATAGACTGATTCCCGGCCCTTTACTTATCGCTCCAGTATACATGAGCCTGCAATCAAAAATTAGGACAGGAATAGACTGATTCTTGGCCCTTTACTTATTGCTCCAATATGCCTGTGCCCATTGCCAATATTTAGGCAGGAATAGACTGACCTGAACTTGTCATTGTATTGAACATGTGCCCGCAAAGCAAATTATGACAGGAAAGGCACAACAGCTATCATCATGCTAGGGAGAAAATCTTTGCCCCAGTGACATGTATTTTGAATTAATTATATTATTCTAACAGGCAATTACACTACAGCTAGTTATATCAGCATCGCAAAACCCTTGTGTGTTTGTGTTTTATACATATACAAGTTTATACCTTTTGAGTAGCAAGGATCATTAATTTTGCTGGCCATGGCAGTATGTTTGTATACATATGCCGTGGCAACTAAATTGATGCATTGACCAATGAAATGAAATAGAGCTGTCCCAGCTGCCTTACCTGTCCTTACACTAAGCTAGGCACATCGAACCTGTCTAGAGGGGATCGAGTGCTGTGTAGTACAAGGGCAAGAATGGAGCAGCAACAATGTGGATGAATATAATGATGGTTAATGACAGCCGGTGATGACCAAGGACACATTAGTCACTGCATAAGATGATGATGATAAGATTCATAGTGATCATGACAGCAACATGGATGCTGACAGACATAATTATGGCAACAGCTGCTTTGATAATGGCAGCAACATTGATGATCGTAATAAGTGATATTAGTGGTAATAATGGTATTAGGTATAGGTAATAATGGTTTCAAATGTAATAGTGATAACAATGGCTATGGTGATGTTATTAACAGTGATGATAGCGATTATGAGATTGCACCTCCCCTGTAGGTGGCAAGGTTCAAGGAGATGGAGCTGACACAGATGAGACTGCTTGAACAGGAGAAGTGTAGGAAGGAACTTGGTAATGCTAGACGAGAGGTAATTACGCTCACTCTTTGATACCCATTGTGAAGGAAAAATGGCATTTCAAACAGTACATTTGAACCTGTGTTAGCAGAAATGTCTATGATGACGGACACTGGTCTCTGAAGAACATTGTTAGTGTAAACCTTGATTGGCAGTTACGCAGTGAAACCACCTCTATGTAATAGACGCTTGTATATAAATGAAACCTCTTCAGTTTCCCTAGAATGTCTCTTATACATAGGTATGACAGGACTTATTTTACTTCGTTTCTGATTTGATGTCACATGTCAAACCTTGATTAGGCATGTTGTTCCTGGTTCAGAATAGCATGGTAATAACCATCATATTCGGCTTAGATTCTTTCACATCTTAATTTGATTAGTATGTTTGTAAACCGAGGCTGTTCTCGCCTGGTCATTGTGTCCTGTGTTTACTCGACAGATGGAAATCCTCTATCAGTCAAAGTGCGATGCACTCGCTACTAGGGAAAAGAACCTGGCTGAGCAAATTCAAAAGGAACAAGAGGTATACATATAAATAAATAAATAAATAAATATATATATATATATATATATATATATATATATATATATATTTATATCATAAATGAAACAGTACAAGTAGAGGGTAGAGCAGGAAAGAAGAGCAAGAGAGTAAGTGAGGGAGAGAGAGAGCGAGAGAGAATAGAGAAAGTGTGTAGAGAATAAGAGTGAAAATGAGAGTTTGAGAGCAAGAATAAGAGCATGAGATATTCGGTGACTATGTGAAACTCTCATGCTAGCCTCATCCGTAATGCTAGCCCTTTAAAATTAATCGTGATCCGTTTATAAATGTTATCTGATTGAAAATCCCACATTTTTCTGTCCAGATGTTGAGCAAAGATGCGTATGCGCAGAGGCAGAAAATCCTGGAGGAAATTGATACTCTGCGAGAGCGGGAGACACAGATGAGACGTGAGACCGAGGGCCATGCAAGGTAGGGTTAGAAGATAGGCAGCAGCTTAGACAAAACCACTGTCTGTCATATATGCAGCAAATCAGGAGTCCATGTTCAAAGATAGTAACTCAGAAGTTCATGTGTTGAGTTGGTAGTGTGTGCGTGTGTGTGTGTGTGTGTGTGCGTGCGTGCGTGCGTGCGTGCGTGCGTGCGTGCGTGCGTGCGTGTGTTGTGTGCGTGCGTGCGTGCGTGCGTTCGTGTGTGTGAATGTGCTGTTGTATGGTACAGAATATCCGTTTTATTGTGTTTAGCTTGCATGATGCAGCAGCACCGGCTGTATAGGGCTTTACCACAGTGTGTGATTTCCTTACAAAAGATTGTAGTGGTTCTCTGTGTCTTTTAAAACAAACACTTGCGTTGTGTGGTGGAAGTTTGGGTTTATGACATTAGGTATGCTTTAAACAGCAATTGCCAAGTAGATGCACGACGAGAGCTTGTTTTATACATGCTTGTTTATTTTGGATCGTATAAAAAATAATCATGACACGTCATTACAAAAACGTATGCTCACACGCACGTATTCCGATTTCCAGCAATGTAAAGCAATTGTAACATTTATAGGGGCCTTCTTCTTCACTCAAACCTCAAAAGCGTCAACACGATCGTCGCATTGCGCGCTCTCGATCGATTTTTAAATAATATAAAATATCCCACTACCTCGGTGCAAGAATGTGCAGTATTTACAGACTGAGGTCACAGCATAGGTGATGTTACCTCATCTCTCACGTCCTTAGACTGTGAGCGATAATCTGTGATAAAGCTCCGTCTATCGCTTCGAAATTTTCTATGCTAAGTCAATGGGGTATTATTAGACAAAATATCCGTAGTTGTGTGTTGGGGCAGCATATCCGTAGCTGTGTGATGGGGCCGCATATCCGTAGCCATGTGCTGGTGCAGCATATCCGTAGCTGTGTGATGGGGCAGCATATCCGTAGTCATGTGCTGGTGCGGCATGAGTGTCGTATCCGTGATCATAGACGTCCTCGTATCCGATGATGGGGCCGGACTCACTGTAGCTGTACAGGTTCTTGGGCTGGTAGTACTTGTGTCCCTCTCTGGAGAAACGTAATTGTCATTATCGTTAAAGTGGAGAGAGTATATAAAATCTAACACAAAACCGCAAATAAGCATATATATATATAATATATAGTCTTAACCCTAACCAGCAGTCGACACTGCTGCCATCTATAACTTCCTACTTACTTGTACTGGTACTGGTAGCCCCTTGCCTTGGCTGCGCTCTCCTGAGCCTCAGCGACGTCGTGTGCGTACAGGGAGCCGTGGGCGGTTCCACTCTTCGCGAAGCTCAGTGCGCTGCTCCTCTGTCCCTGTCCCGCCTCGTGTCCTCTCCGCACGGGTCCGTAGCCGGAGGTGACAAAGTACTCCGGTGCGCGGGTGTAGGCGTATGCCCTGGGAGCGCCGTAACCGTCGGCGTACGCGTCGCTGGCGTAGGCGACTCCGCAGAGGAGTGCGAGCATGAGGAGAGTATTCATGATGGTCTGTGCGGGTGCGGGAACGGGAAAAAACACATTAGTTACGACGTAGCTGCACAGGTGGCGCGCAGAGCGATGTCATTCTGACTACTAGTACATGTATCTCCTATTGGCTGACGCTGTTTGCTTCAATGCTGTGGTTCTTATGTGAACGTAGAATGAACGCGCTAACCAACGAATACAATTATTATTGAATAGATTATTTCTTGCATAAGATCGTTTCTCAGAGTGATTTTTAAGAATGATTATTGAGATTTCTTAGATTTGATATAGATGATCTATTTGATTAGCAGTGACGCATTTAATTAAAGTGAATACTAATCCTATGATGTGAGTCTGATTTGCTTAGGGTCGGCCGCGGTAAATTCATCGAGAAAGATTCTATAATGAGTTATTTTTTAGCGATGGGGATCAAAGTTCAGGAAATGAATATTAAAGTGTAGTAACGTGGAAATTACTTATTAGTAACATGAAGATTGAAGATGCAGAAGTTGGAATGAGGTGTTGGGAAAGTACAGATTCGATATGAAGAAATGGAATATCAGCAATCCTAAAAAGAAAGATGGGATATGAAACGAATAGAAATGAGATATTTCCCACGAAGAGAGATTAGATACTATAAAAATATTTATATAAGAAATGATAAAAATGGAAAAGTGGAATGATGAAGCGAAATCAATAGCAGCCATAATCATGAAAGTAATGATGAAACATTATGAAAGTCAAGCCAGCCGGGTTACGAAACCGAGGATAAAAATTCACATACATCCAGAGAATACCGCTTGTTAATGAATGAATGAATAAATTGATTTATAAATTAATTAAGAAACTTTGGTAATTAATTACAAAAATTAATTAGTTATTTCATCAATGCAAATTTAGGACTTTAATACTACAGGGTTAAGGTTATGCAGCAGAAGATTAGCTGAAGAATTACCGTGCAAACTGCAATCCATGCTAGGCGAGAGAATTCCATGATCCCCACCATCTACTCTACATCCTCACTCTACGCTCACACTCGCACACACTCTCACACTGACGGCTCTTACCTGTGCTGACGGCGGCGGTCTGGGCGACGGTTGCTGGGCAGCTGAGTGGAGACGACTGATGCGCTCTGTCGGCTGTCGGCGTGCCTTTATACGAACACCTTGCTGAACTTGGCACGCATCTCGTGAACATGTGTCATTGTTACGTTGGCTTAGCCCGTAACCTTGCGCTTCCTAAATCCGCGCGCGAGTCTGCGTCGTTTGTTTCACGTAGGCGACGTACGTCGGTGCCTGCGTCAGCTTGTCGTAACACAACAAGTCGGCACTGTGTGTGAGCGATTGACCGCGTGCATTGTGTGTGTGTGTGTGTGTGTGTGTGTGTGTGCGTGTGCGTGTGCGTGTGCGTGTGTGTGTGTGTGTGTGTGTGCGTGTGCGTGGGACGCGTGCGTAAGCGCCGGCGCGGATTTGAAAAGGCGCGCGATAATTTTTGCGGGCTAAGTGGGCCGAGCTGCAATTTGTCAGACTTTCCCCGCGGTCGCCCGGGTTAATTGCTCTATCCTTGAAAGAGAGGGAGGGAGAAACAGGGAGAGAGAAGGTGGGGAGGGGCGGGTGCTAACGACGTAAAACCGTGCGCACGTACGCGTGTGTGCGTGCATGCGTGCGTGCGTACGTGTCTGTGCGCGTGCATGCGTCGATGTGCGTGAGTGGGTACGCGCGGGAACGTATGTATCTGCACATTTGAGTCAATAATTGAGTCAATGATGAATCCTTTAGCGTACGATCCGGTCGGCTCCCGATTCCGTCGTTTTTTCCGTCCGGTAATTCCGATCCAGATTCCGGCATCGGGTACAAGTCTCCGCACCGCTACATCCGAACTCCGGTGCAATTAATATTACCATCTTCCTCCCGATCACCTCCCTCCCTTTCCATTTTTCCTCCTTACTCCCGCCTCGCTTGCCCTTCTCCTTTTCTTCCTCCCTAATTCCACTCTGCCTCCTCCGCATCCTCCGCTTTCCACCTCCATCCGTCGCTCCTCCCTCCTCCTTTCCCTGCCTCCCCCGTTTTCTTCCCCACCTCCTTCCCCGCTTCCACGTAATGCTGATCGTCGAGCAAGCACACCTGAAGAAAACAACGGGGCCGTCATCAGCATCGGCGGCTGCACAGGTGTAAGTCATTAAATTCGCATTAGCTTATATTACGGCGGGACGGTGGAGCAGATTTCACTTTCAATAACTTTCGATTGTCGTGTATAGGTGTGTGAGCGCGTGTGTAAAACAAAGCCACCTCAGTATCTATCCCTCCCTCTCTTTCATATACTAGCTCTCTCTCTCTCTCTAATTGAGACGGGGTACTATGACGTGAGTCACGGCATGCTCACATTCTCACGTAACTCTCTCCTTACATATTACATATACAGGTGACGACGACGACGTGGGCGTGTGGGCGGGGGAGGGAGTTTAAAAATAATCGTATCAGCGACGGAGGAGGGTGGGACGGGCGAGGGGGTCGAGTTGCTATCGTAGCAGCGAAGGAGCGGGAGTCAAGCTGCAATATTAGCAGTGTCGTAGGAGGGGTTGATTGAGGGAGGGGGATTGAGGTGCAATCATAACATCGATGGCGGAGGGGGTGGGTGGGCGTTATCGAGGGGCTATCGTAGCAGCGATGTAGGACGGTGTTTTGTTGGACGAAATGGAAGGAGTAATTGACGCCAAGAGTGATGAAATCTACTCGACAATTGGCTAAAACGCGCGCGCGCGCGTGTCAAGCGCCTTCCAACGTAATTGCCCTGAACTGGATCTCGCGGTTGTATCAGGAGTGTGATAATATAGACGTGTTTCGGGCGAGTCCTACTCCTCTATACTATGACACTCCTTGGCGTTACGACGCCTCGTGTTAGCTAGTATCGGCGCCAATGTTTGTCGTCAGGACGCAATTTCTTGTGTTATGCGAGTGTTCGATAAACGCTTGCAGTGTTACTGCAGTGAGGTGAGAGAGAGAGAGCGAGAGAGCAGAGAGATTGGGAAGGGAAGAGCGGGAGTGAGAGAGTGAGAGTGAGATAGTGTGTGTGTGAGAGAGATAGATAGGTAGCCAGCCAGACAGATGGACGGCCGGACGGACGGACTGGAAGGCGAATGGACGGACGGGCGGACGGACGGACGGACGAATCGACGGACAAACAGACATACAGGCAGGCAGACAGACAGAAAGACATACAGACAGACAGGAAAGCAGGTAGATAGGGAGGCAGGTAGGCAGGCAGACAGAGAGACACACGGGAAGATAGATAGACAGAGAGGAGGTCTGGTCTAAGTGCCACCGAACTTTTTTCGCAACATCACAATATCACATTTACATATGATTATTTGATTATTTGAATGCAGGGCTTGCCTCGGTAAGAAATGTCTGATAGCCACTTTATTGTGTTACGATAAACGGCTTAACAAGAAGCGAATTTCTACAAACAGAGCGTCGTTCATAGAGCGAGAGTAATCACACGTCC